GGGGGTGGGCAGAGTTTGAACCAGGAACAGGGAATAGAAAAAATGCTGAAAACCAGGCCCTGGTAGGGGAAGGTTTAGAATAATAATAAAAAAGACAATAAGTATTAATAATATTATTTGTTTGACTCACTTTTACTTTTAAGCTAAAATAAAAGTTAATGTTTTCCTTGGATTTTAATGTACACAGCTGAAATATGACTCATTTTTGCAGAAAACAGACATTATGGAATAACGAAAATGAATCAAAGAAGCAGCCGTTCTCACACCATATTTAGAATGGTAAGTCATTTTCTCTTTCTCTCTTTATTTGATCTTTCCCATTAAGATTAAGCTAATTTTTCTACAATTTGCCTTTTTTTCTGTCTAGATTTTGGAAAGTAGAGAGAAGGGTGAACCTTCTAATTGTGAAGGATCTGTCAAGGTGTCCCATTTGGTGAGTATTGATGAACCATGACTCTGGGCCGTATATGCCAAAACTAAGTTTAATTCACCTGCTGTTTGATTTAAGAACTGTTCATTGAACTAGGTAGGGAAAAAAAAAATCTATAAATTGGTAGCTTAATTAGTCAGAAGCATCAGATTAAAAGTTGAAATGTTGTAGGAAGAAGTCAAAAGGTCTGTCTCTCTGTTATGTTACGGCTGCCATCTCCTAAATTTTAGATATAAGGATCATAGGAATAATGAGGTAGGAATTTTCTTTTTTGGTATACACATTGAAGAATTGAGGTGCTCTTGAGCTTGTGAAGTCAACAAAAACATAGGTTAAATGGTTAAAAAAATAAATCAGATTATCAGAATTCTTAAGTACAAAAGAAAATAGCCATTATATTATAAATACAATATTCTAAACCATAATCCTGTAAGGAAGGAGTGATATTTATCTTTGTAGCCCTAACACATAGTACATAAAGAACCAAAACCCACTGCCACTGAGGTGATTCCTACTCATAGTGACCCCCATTGGGTTTCTGAGGAGTAAATCTTTATGGAGGTAGATTGCCATTTTGCCTTCCATGAAGTGGCTTGTTGATTTGAACCCCCAACCTTCTGGTTAGCTGTCAAATGCCTTAGGCACTGTGCCACCAGAGCTCCTTAACACATTGTACATACTTTGTGTTCAATACTGTGGGATTAATGAATATAAGCATTATGCAAGCAGTCTTGTTTTCCACTTAAGTAAACCTTCCCCCTTTCTTTTTTGCTGCCCTATGTCATTGTTCTCTTTCTCCATGCTCCTTTCTTATTCCTTACCATTGTTGCTTTTATCTCTATTTTTCAGGCCTGACTTATTTTTGATTATCCTATTTGATTTGAAAACTTCAAAGGAAAAAAGTGATAAAACTATTATATTTATTTGTCTTTAAGTTTTGTCTTTAAACCCGAATTTTAAGAATTACTTGATATGCAATCCTAGCTTTGTATCAGTTATTTTGCTGCAAAAGTCTGAAATTTATTTTAGTAGATTTTTATCTTACTTTAATGTAACTAGGACATACAGCGTAACCTCTTTTTTTGCCTTTCGACCTTGGCCTACAGTATTTCATTATAATATTACTTTTTCTCTTAATAATTTAGCTTTAATATTCCTGGCATCAGTATACCACTTGGTGATCCACTTGGTCATTCTTCCATATTTCTTGATGCTTTATCATCTATGGTCCATAGATATCATCTATCCAACCTGCCAACCTACCCAATTATTATTAAGAATTTTCTTGGAAAGAAGTCTTCCTCATAGGCATCTTCTGGCTCTTTAGAGGTGTTCCTTTCCTGCATGTGTCTTTCTTTGGCCTTTGAGAGATAATAATATCCATGTTTGTTTCAGTACCTGTGCTTAAACTGCCCCCTGGCTGAACACTCTTCTCTTTGGCTTCCTGGGTTCCACCCCTTCCTCCTGCTCTTCCGGCCTGCTACTCTGTGCTACG